TTTATGACCGAACTCCATTTGAAGGTCACATCTTTGAAGCTATATAAATCTATGATCATTAGTTTTACTTTCTCAGAAATTAATGTATTATTGATGCACCGAAATGCCTTTCTAGCTCCTAACTGCAGAATCAGTTGTACAGTTGGCAATTGATGTGGGCTAACTAATTTTTGAAACTGGAAACTTAATAACTAATTTAGTTCAAATTTTTACCCCCCAAGATTATTGACAAAGAACGAAATTTGCTTGCTTTATAGTGTTTATAAGCATAAGCCATGCAACTTGCATTCTACTTATGTTAATATGAGTGTTATTAAATAATTAACAACAGTTATCTATTGAATAAAGGTCTAGTGAAACTTGTTGAAGAAACAGTGAGGTCTGAGCATGCTTCTAATCCAAATAAGCCAATCTATTTGGTTGGAGACTCTTTTGGAGGATGCTTAGCACTTGCTGTGGCTGCTCGAAATCCTTCTGTTGACCTAATCTTGATATTAGTCAATCCAGGTCAGTTTTCAAATTTTCAGTCTGATTGTTTCCTTGTATACTATTGGTTCCTTTTCAATTCAATAATTTGGTTGATATTTCAAGGTTTTCTGATGTTGTTTAGTCTTTTTTTTTAGCTACTTCTTTTGGGAGGTCACAGCTGCAACCCTTGTTGCCTATCTTGGAGGCTTTGCCAGATGGACTACATACAACAGTGCCCTATGCTCTGAGCTTCATTCTGGGTACATGATCCTATGCTTGGAAGTTAAATCTATTGTGACATGCTTATTTTCAGTGGGAAGAATTTGATTCAGTCACTGTTAAAGCAATTTCCACATTTCTTCAATCCTAACAGATTATGATCTGCTGCTAAGATTCAATGTCTGATTACAATATTGTTGGGAAAATTTAATCCAATACTTTCAACTATTAGTATATCTTTGCTAATGTAAATTATCAGTTAAATAATTAATTTTATTGCTCACTGTTGTGGTGTCTTCAGTTCATTAAAGATTAATTGCTAGTAAAAGTGTTTCATATGTCTCTAAGAGGAGGGTGAACGATAAATCTATTTATATATATTGTTTTTCTCCATAGTTGACTCACATAGAGATTTTTTAATTCATATACAAGGTCAGTACTTTCAGATTGGTGTATAAAAGTTAGGGTTAAGAGTGGGGATAAACACTAGTAGTATCCAATTTTTCTTCCAGCTGAATATGGATTTTATCTCTGTTGAGTGTAAGCCATACTGATGAACAATGTATACTCTGTCTTTTTATTTTTCTGCTAATGATTGTTTGGTTATTTTATACTCACAAGAATATCAAAATATCTTATATACATTGGCTCAAATTCAGTTTCTCCTTACTCAAGTTTTGACATTATTGATTTCTGTTACAAATTAACTTACTTTTTGGACACAAAGAATAGATTTCTTCTGACACTGCCATTTCTTTTCTAATATTATCAGGTAATCCATTGAAGATGGCAACAGTTAGTATTGACAGTAGGCTTCCTCTGAGTTTAAGAATGGAAAAATTGTCTGGCAACCTCACTTCTTTGCTTCCTCTTCTTTCTGTGAGTTGTATTTGGTGTTGCTTCTATATTCTAGTCTTCTTTATGCTGCATAAACATTTTATTAGAATTAAATTTTGTAAATTTAACTTTATTTTTTCTCGCTAGATATGCCCTCTAAACCTCCATCAATGAAAGTTTTTCCAATGATCTGCAAGTCTAAGCTGTAATGCAGTTATATTCAGTCTGAGGGATTTATTTTTTTGCTACTTGTTCTTTTAACTTTGGCTTCTCTCACTTGATTTCAGGTTTTGGCAGATATTATTCCAAAGGAAACTCTCCTTTGGAAACTAAAGTTGCTTAAATCAGGTGCAGCTTATGCTAATTCCCGTCTCCATGCTGTCAAAGCCGAAGTACTAGTCCTAGCCAGGTCTGAGTTATCTCCAGAATCAGTACAGTTTTTTATATGTATAATGCACTGATTCTGATGTTGCTTCTCCTTCAGTTGCGTGAATAATGGTTTCACATGGTCTACCATTTTTTCAACTGAATAACGTTTATAATGTTTCTCTATTGTCAAGCAACATGAAGTAGATAGCCGATCTAAGCATATTTAACAAAGCATTTCGAGGGATCTCCCCATCAAGGGATATTACAGCTGGCAATTGAAATATTAATATTCCTTAGTAGCTTTTTAAATTTCAAGTCCACTCATAAGGACAATCTCAGTAGTATTTTCTTTAGGCTTGTACAGCTGATGCCTTTTATATCCTTGTAATGAGGGCAATAGGTTCTTGAAATTCTCTTTCCTTGATTAAGATTTCCAGGCATTCTTGCGATTAGTTTTTCTATTGTTCTTTATTACATAATGTTGTATGCTTTACCAGATTGGTTGGCATGAATTATGAAAAGCGTTGTCTA